ATATATATATATATATATATATATATATATATATATATATATATATATATAATATATATATATAATATATATATGTGCACTTATGATGTAAATAAACACATGCGCACACAAACACTATAGGCATACATATCCGATGCGAACAAACACACACACATGCAAACATAATATATATGCAATAATATACCAAGTTTACTAACATACAGAACTTCATGTACACACCCGCTTGCAGAAAGATGATTGTCCATAAGAAATTTGCGGGCGTATCGGTGCCGCCAGTTTGATGGACAAGGTGCCTCACCTTCTCAGATACATTTGGAAATACTCTCCATACATCTAAGCAACTGTGTATGTACGACTACACCGTATATACATATATGCACGAGAAACACACAACTACATCATGAGCACACACGCACACATATATATTTATATACTCCGTATATGTGTTCAAATACCTGCAGTCAGCTGATTTCCCCCGAGGTTCTTGCGGTCGTATCTGCGCCTGTTCCTGGTACTGTTCGGCGTGTTGAAGCCCCAGATGTGCTTGTACAGACTCATCACCTCCATTCGCAGGTATATGTCGTAGCGGCAGTGTACGTTCATCATGTACCACAGCTTTTCAACCAGTGCCCAAGAACTCATCCCCTTTGCCCAGCGGATAAAGCTCTCTGAACTACGTAAGGTCTGTACCGAATTTAAAAAAAATGGTTATAAGAGTTAGGTGGTAGAAAGAAAAGGCGGGCGTATGTAGGTAGATCTCCAGCAACGCTATCGATGATTGCCCCACAAAGTATGATATACGAGTCAAACGGCACAATGGAAACAGTCACACACTCGATACCACATACAACACTCCCCCACTCGATAAGTCACAGCAACCAGCCCAGAAGGGTGCATGTGAACGTCTCGAAAGCTTAATTCTTCAACTAAAACAAAGCTTAATTCTCCAACTAAAACAACCCAATGCTATACAAGAACGTACTGAAAATGCCTGCGACGGTAGACGTAGCCCTGCGAACAAGCAGCGTGGTGTATAAGCACAGGCAACTTCTAGCACTTTCTCATGGTGGGCGTAGGGAGATGCTAAACTACTCATTGCAACGGCACAAACGCAAACACGCGTGCGGATATAAAGCTAGCTGAATACGCACACATATATATAAACAGAAGATATCAAGTACGCACACATATAAATAAACAGAAGATATCAAATACGCACACATATATAAACAGAAGATATATTTGCGCACATATATATAAACAGAAGATATCAAATACGCACACATATATATAAACAGAAGATATCAAATACGCACACAGATATATAAACAGAAGATAACAAATACGCACACATATATACAAACAGACGATATCACGATCACGCATCCAGGTGGTGCATATGCGCACCTACATACACTAGAATCAGTCCACCTGAAAGCAAACACACAAGCACACATGTACAGACATACTATCCATGTACACAGATGCACAAATGCATTTGCATGCACATGTTTACATTTACATATACATATCTCTGTCTGTCTCGGCTACTGCAAGGGGTTTACACCCTCAGAGACGTATGTCGCCTATTACCAACTGTTCACGGTGTGGTAATCGTATACCGGTTACACCTACCCGTATAGCTATCTGTCTCATGCCGTAGTCTGGGTCGTGCTCGGCGCAATTGACGATAAACACTACGCACTGCATTTTGAGCTGTTCACTCAGCGCAGCCATACACTCCACAGCCACAACTCGCAACGCCCGGAACTGCCCATACCTACACAGGGAGACACAATGCAACACAGTGAAAGGGGTGTTCTAGTCGATGTCAGGTATGTAGTGGTCAAGTGGTCAGTGGTGCGTATAGTGAAGGGGGGGGGTATACACCAAGAGATATGATGAGAGTGGTTGGATTGTAAGGTAGCACAGAGTGGACGTATAAACTGTACCATAGGACGGACTGAGCTATTGCGTTGTGGTCTGTATCGAAAATATTGTACATATCGCAAGATATAACCTAGAGAAAGCTTGAGTTGGCAGGATCGTGTTTTTATACACGTGTATGTATATCTAACGTAAATATATGCATACACGTAAAAAGTAAGGTAAGAGCGAGCATATGTCGTAATCTGTCGCACCGCAGATGTTGATTAGGCGGCGTAGAAGACTACGAACCGATACGATACGCAGAAAGTGACTGACAAACTGCACACAATGTGCGCATCACAGGAAATGACTTCTTCATCCACGTGGGTGGGTGGTGGGGGTTTGGTCAACTTGTGACGGCACGCGGAAAACAACAAGAACATGACTTCATCGCCTGCGGAAGCATTGAGTCCGAGCACAAGCACACGCAGATGTAATGCGATTGATCCTAGGCATCGAGTGCCATATGTTCGGGAAATACCACTACGTAGCACGCGGACAACAATAACAACATGTTATATGGCCTGCGCAGTACTGAGTGCGAGCACAGGCACACGCAGATATAAGACGATGGACCTAAAACATCGCGTGCCATATGCACAGGGGATATCTATACGTATAGGGGTGGGCCGCATGCGACTGGATAGCGATATGTAAAAATATAGTCATCAACCTCCTGTGAACAAATATAGTCATCAACCTCCTGTGACTGTCCCCAGGCCTACGCATAGAGCCAGCCCAAACTGCTTCTACATAACAAGGCACGAGACACGAGGCGCCAATACAGTTACACCTGACGATTACAACTGGTGTGGACTTATGGTATGAAATCAGGACATACTGTGCGAGATTGGTGAGTAATTGGAGCAGGTTGTCGATGTGGAAGCGATCGCTCAGACACAGTTGGGTCAGTACCTACACCGAGAGGAACAAAGAAGGTAAATTAGATGATGACTGCCGGATACAATTCGGAAACAGGAATATTCGGAAAAGGGCACGGAGCTATACCGCGACATGTGTACCACGGCTTGCCTGGACTGCAAGTCACAGTGCGATGGGGATGACAAATACAGTGTGATGGGTATAGGGTTTACTAGTCCGCCGAATACTCTCGGGTAGCTCTGGTTTATGCATCGTATCCATGATCGGTTTATGTATATCTCACCGGTTTAAGTATATTCGTGGCACAGCCTGGAGACCATCCTCCATTGTTGTTCTCGATTCTAGAGCACTACCAATTGGGCACGAACAGTCATGCCGGCGAATAGAACTGCAAACGCACCACGCAACCCCACATACCCTCAAGCAACACACCACACAACCCCACACACCACACAACCCCACATACCCTCAAGCAACACACCACACAACCCCACATACCCTCAAGCATCCCTGCGTCACACACCACCGATACGATGGGATCAGCATGTCCATGTAACGACAAACATACCCTCAAGCAACACACCACACAACCCCACATACCCTCAAGCAACACACCACACAACCCCACATACCCTCAAGCATCCCTGCGTCACACACCACCGATACGATGGGATCAGCATGTCCATGTTCTGTAGCCGCGTGATCGTAGATACTATCCTGCCCAGCAGTTTGTCGTCCACGATGTCGTTGGACTGTTCGGCACTCGGAGACAAGGCACCGGCGAGGGCGTCCAGATTGCTCATCACGTAGTAGTTGTCCGAGAACTGGTGAAAGTAGGGCATGTCAGGTACAGGTTAGTTATGGGTCCTGAGAAGTCTGTGTGTATTGTGTGTACAGAGCACCCTTTCTTAGATACTGGCCATCACATCCAAAGGATAAAACATGCAGCTGTCTCAAAACAGGTGACGCCAGTGGGGGGCTGTCAGCGTATCGGTAGCCCTGGCTGTGAAGGATTCCATGGGAATGAATGGGATATGAGGCAGATTCATCCGTAGCAAGCAGTTGTCCCTAACCTTTATTATTGGGCCTTGTACACGAACAGACTATGTTGATCACATCCGCACCTCCTCTATCAAATTGGTCGTCACATAGTTAGTGGTACGAAAACAGACTCAACTCGGAACTACATGACTTGTCGTTGTAGCATGTCTGGTGTTAAATGCCCTTATACACTACCCGTGCGGATGCGAACGCATTCAATAGGCCGCATATATAAAACGCCTCAGTGCACCGTATGTCTATCAGGTTGTATGTATTAACGTTGAGTTACATTCCCAGCAAAATGCTCGGGTAACTCTTAAGTGAAGGACCGAATACACCCAACAAGGCGCACACTCAAAAGCGACCACAAATCTTATACATGCCATGTACAAGACCACACTCACAGTCACCATAGACCTTACTCACAGTCTCCATAGACCTAGTACATGCCATGTACAGCACCACACTCACAGTCTCCATAGACCTTACTCACAGTCTCCATAGACCTTGTGCATGCCATGTAATAGACCACACTCACAGTCTCCATAGACCATACTCACAGTCTCCATGGACCTAGTACATGCCATGTACAAGACCACACTCACAGTCTCCATAGACCACACTCACAGTCTCCATAGACCTTGTGCATGCCATGTAAAAGACCACACTCACAGTCTACATAGACCTAGCACATGCCATGTACAAGACCACACTCACAGTCTCCATAGACCTAGTACATGCCATGTACAAGACCACACTCGCAGTCTCCATAGACCTAGTACATGCCATGTACACGACCACACTCAAACTCTCCATAGGCCTAGTACATACCAGGTTGTATTTATTGTCGTTAAAGTCGATCATGTGCAAGATGAATTCTAACACGTCTAATGGCACGTTCCCATTCAGATCCCGGGCGGCGCTCAGAGCCAGGGGAATGCTCTGCGTGTGACAGGGGAGATAACCAAGGCATATGTGAGTTTGAGCCTATGTGCGATGGTGTTGTACTATATACCACAAAAAGGACGAGGCGTGTAGCGTGCTCTGTATCGTATTATTTGAGTATGGGAGGCAATTGATTATCTGGAGAGTGCATTAGTAAGTGGAGAACAGTAAAGATAATACCAGAGATATAGGTCAGGCTTTAAATAATGCTCGACCAGCCAGGTATCTTCGTGCTTCACAAGTAGTAGTTTAAGTAAAACATGTCTGCGGGCTATGATGGATATAGTGGATTAGGGCTTTATCGTCAGTCATTCCGGGACGGACGTGCGGACCTCCAGATCGATATCACATTGGATAGAAATCACAAAGTCTTATAGTTGGAGGTATGTTGCACTCTATACTGTGTGCGGTTCAGAAAGACCTGATGTAAGCTGAGAGACATACGCGATACACAATAACGATCAGCAGAACCATATGATGAACGTTAATGCACGTGCCTCTGCAGTGGGCACACCCAACCTGTGCATGAGACAGTACGTGTACAATATGATGAACGTAAACGCACGTGCCTCAGCAGCGGGCACACTTAACCTGTACATGAGACAGTACGTGTGCAATATGATGTACGTAAACGCATGTGCCTCTGCAGTGGATACGCCCACCCTGTGCATGAGACAGTGCGTGTACGCGTAGCAATCATTGCAAACACAGACCCTCTGCACCAGGTACTCGCAATCAAGCTATAGGGCAGCCAGGGAGTTAAAACTGTCCATGATAAGACAGGTAAGAGACGACCACATAACCCAATTCAACCCCCCTAAAAACTACACACCTTCTGCACCAGGTACTCACAATCAAGCTATAGGGCAGCCAAGGAGTTAAAACTGTACATGATAGGACAAGTAAGATACGACCACATAACCCAATTCAACCCCCCCTAAAAACTCCATACCTTCTGCACCAGGTAGGCTCCAATTCTCAATACCAATGTATACGACAAATACTAGACGACCACAAAACCTAATTCAACCCCCCTATAACCCCACACCTTCTGCACCAGGTAGGCTCCAATTCTCAATACCAATCTATAGGACAAGTAATAGACGACCACAAACCCTAATTCAACCCCCCTATGACCCCCATACCTTCTGCACCAGGTAGGCTCCAATTCTGAATAGGGCAAATACTAGACGACCACAAAACCTAATTCAACCCCCCTACTGACCCCCATACCTTCTGCACCAGGTAGGCTCCAATTCTGAATACCAATGTATAGGAAAATACTAGACGACCACAAAACCTAATTCAACCCCCCTATAACCCCCACACCTTCTGCACCAGGTAGGCTCCAATTCTCAATACCAATGTATACGACAAATATTAGACGACCACAAAACAATAATCCAACCCCCCTAAAACCCCCACACCTTCTGCACCAGGTACTCCCGTAGCCCTGAGAAGTCGTTCTGGCGCACAAACTGGTTGCCATTCTGATACGTGTTGAAGTACATGTGCTTGCACGCCCAGATGAGCGACTCCCATCCCCACAATTGCGACCCCACTTTGAGATTGTGGTTGAGATGACTCACGCCGTTTTCTTCTACGGTGATGCGTGGGTGGGTGGCCAGGCCTTTGGCGGCACTAATGCGCGTTTGGTAGAAGAACTCGGGGTTGGTGACCACCTATATGTATA